CTCACCCTTCTCACCACATGGTCGAAAGTCCTACGGCGAGCGCGACAAGGTGAAGTCCATGTTCTATGAAGAATAGCACGACGTTCTGTTGTCTGTATCGAAGGCGGTTAAGTCGGCTGTCCTTGGCGATTTCAATGCGCGCATTGGTACAGACTGCCATGCCTAGAGGATAATGCTGGGTCCTTAGTGAATCGCTGGCTGCAACGACAATGGCCTTTTTCTCCTGCGAACTTAGGCAGAACATCAAATTCTGCTGACCAACACCTTCTTCCGCTTATCTTTGAGGAATAAGGCCACTTGGAGGCACCCCGGATCGCGACTTTGGCAGCTGTTAGACTATTTTCTCGTCCGGTGGCGAGATCGGCAGAACGTAATGGTGACCAAGGCTATCTGCGACGCCGATGGTTGGACGGACCACCACTTCGTCCTCGTCAAGATGAGGCTCCGTCCGCAGCCGAACAGGAGGCCTCAAGTTAAGCGACCCCAGGTAGGCTGAATGCTTCTATGTTGTCTTTGTCCACACAACGTCTCTATTTCAGCATTCATCTAGCCCAGCGGCTGGAATCGCTGCCAGCGCCATTTGAAACGCCTTCGCGGAGACTCGACGGGGCCCGCTGAGGGACGCCTCTTATTCAGCCACCATGGGTGTCCTCGGCCGCGCACGCCGGCCACATCAGGACGGGCTCAACGAAAACGACGCAATTACTAAACCTGCTCTTTGAAATAAACAGGCCGCATAGGGCGTATCTCGACGGTCCAATAAACGCAAACAAAGCGGCCTTCTATCAATATCGCCGTCTTGCGCAGCAATTGTTTCGAAGATATCCAGGCTTACGCCGACTACAACGAATCAGAGAATTTCTTAATGGCGATCAAGGCGATTTACGGCCCCCAACGAAAGGAGCCACGTCCCATCTCAGCTCCGATGGATCAAGGGTTTTGATGGAGAACTTGCAAATTCTGAAGCGTTAGGCCGAGGACTTCAGGAGAGTTTTCAACACTTCCTCAAATATCTCCGACGCCACCATCGACCGCAACCCTCAAGTGGAAATCAACGTTGACCTGGATCTCCCACCCTCGCACCCAGAAACCATCCGTGCTGCGCAAAAATTAGCCAGCGGGAAAGCACCATGCTTCAATGCGATCCCAGCTGAAATCTGCAAGCACGGCGCCCACCGACTGATAGACCAAATCACGGCTTCACTTCATGAGATATGGCGCTGCGGCACGTTCTTCAGGATTTAAATTACGCAACCGCCATCCATCGGTATAAGCGCAAGGGGAACCAGCAACTCAGTAACAATCACAGAGGCATATTGCTACCCAGCATCGCCGGGAAGATCTTCGTCCGCATCTTCCTTAATCGTCTTAACGGCCACCCGGAGCAAGGACTTCTACCGGAAAGCCGGTGTGGATTTTGAAGAAACCGCGCAACCACTGATATGAACTTTGCCGCCCCCCCTCCCCCCCCCAGCTTCGAGAGAGGTATCAGTAGATGCGGACCCACCTCTGAACTACCTTCGCTGATTTCGCGAAAGCCTTTCACGAAGTGAATTACGAGGGACTGCGGGAAATCATGCAGAAATAAAGATGCCCCGTACAGCTCACACACATAGTGCATCAGGTCCACGGTGGGTTGATGACGCGCGTCGCGGACAACGGAACAGTCTCCGAGGTATTTTCAATGAATAATGAAGAAAAGCAGGGCTGCGTACCCGCGCCCACCTTTTTCAGTCACAGGTCCGCTGCCATGCTGATGGAAGCCCTCCGAGATTAGCGCCCTGCGATCCGCATCGATAGAGGTCAAGGTCAAGCTGTTGGTTTCAAATTTCAAACAAGTTGGAAGATGTTATTTAATGCAATTTTTCTAAGAGACATTTGGACTTTTAGACCTTGTTTTTAAGTAAAGTTATTTAAATGCAGGTATGTTCTCTCAGAGTACTAATTTTCTTTTATTAAAGACCCGTCGGTGTCCCACCAACGCAACTATCGGTTGCAATTTTCCTTTTGAATTTTGCTAGTCTGTGCTTGTTGACTACCATTCACGTTCTGCAATTCGCGTTTTATGCATTCGAACCGTCTCTAACCGTGCACATTTTCTCTACACCGTTAACCTCTCGCTGTAACTCGACCGTCGAATTAGTCAGAAATTTTAATTAATTGCAGCATACCTCGAAATAAGATGAGAGAGGAAGTCATAGGTCGGCGAAAACTGTTGGCCCCTGCACCCAGACATGGCTCAGTTAAATTCAGGTCGCTGTTAGAGAATACAGGAAGGTAACAGGTCTGTTACTTCGCAGGTTTCCTATACCAGCTTCAGTAGAAATCAGAGCCAAAAACTCATAATTAGTCATCCCAAGACCGACACTTCGAAGTACCGCTACAGTTACTTCGTCTGCTGTCATTCGGAGGCGGAGAACGAAAAAAACATGTTACACTGGATGCAGCCAATGCGACTATAAGCGGGACGTCTGAAAGTATATCTGAGAAGTAAAATTCCTTTTTATAAATGTAGTCGTACCTTGCTGTGGTCTGAACTATAAAATGAAGGACCTAGTCAGCATGCGCCGCTGTGTGTTTCGGCGTGGTCCGACAGCAAGTGATGTGAAAAACCGCCTGTTCTCTATGCAGGGTGACTGCAAACCGGACTCTTTTTAACGAAAAAGATGACTTGCGGGCCGCCTGCTTTACGACACCAGCTTTGTGGATGACGAACTCTGCCTATCCGGATGTTTTGCAGATGGACGCCACATACTGGACGAAAAGGCTGGGGTGTGCCTTGAACCACATAGTGGTAACTGATAAGCACGGGCATGCCCAGTGCGTGTTCTCTGCGTTTGTAACTCAGGGCGACGCCGTCAGCGTGCGTTGGTAGTTAGTAAATTTAAGGAGGACATGGGGTCCGCAACTGATAACTTACATAGTGTTTATAGATAGGACGTCAGAGGATTAAAGCTCGGAGAGAAGTTTTCCTGGAAATCAGGTTGTTATTCTTACTTTCACACTTCATGTGCTCCAAGGTTTCAAGAGAAAGGTGAAAGTTGTACATAAAGATGTTAGCCGGAGCATTCTCTTAACCTTTTCCGAAGAGCTGTGTATGCATAATCTTTAAAAATTTTTAGAATACCTATTAATAGCATGAGAGATCGACTACCTGAGCTATGGCCGTACTTTGTGGGCAAATAATGGCGGTGAAGACACCGGTGGGCCCATTACATTCGGTATAGGCTTGTGACGTACGGCGACAACACCCTGAATAAAATGGAAAGTTTAAATGGTGTTCTGAAGCAATGGTGTGGGCTGTACATGTTCCTCACCGACTGCGCCCACGGCATAGTGCAATTTTCGGAGTCTGCGGTTGTAGGTAGTGATAGTTTAGACGCCGATGTGTATTTCCGTCACAGACAATAACAGAATTTGAGGCCACGTGCCATTCGAGCGTGCCAAATGCTGGCTGGGTACGCCTCAGACGTCGTGATCACCCACCTTTCGAAAAACGTCGACGTCAAGCTTTCCAGCAGTGCGGTCGACACGTGCAGCTATGGCTTCTATCGTCATTGGTAACCGCCATATGTTCACATCCTGAATTTCTTCGAGCGCCGCAACGTCGATCCCCCTCGGGCTCTTTTAAAGAGCCAATCGGTTTTTCGTGTAGACGTATGCGAGAACCCCGTCGCTGACGAGAATGTTGATCCGGGGCCCTTACGTCCTTCCCGGCTGACATTCTTGTCAGCAAAGGACTAGGGCCGTTAACATAGACCTACAAGTACAAGGTTGCCATGAGCCACGTGTAGCCTATAGGGAGTCCGCAATTCGAGGACTTGCTGCGGGAAGTTGATGTGTTCGCTGACCGCGTCATGATTACCCGTTCTGATTGTCTGCAAGGGTTGCTTTTCGACTCCCATTCACGGCCGAACGTGGATGAATCGGAAGACGATACGAGGGACGTAGTCGTTAGTTGTCAGATAAAAGAGGAGTAGTGCCTCTCACTTGATGCCTGAGTGGTTACCCGGCCTTTGAAGGGTGATGGCCCAGGCTATATGCAGGGCCTTATACCTCACCCCTAAGGGCTTAAAGGATAGTCTGCGTATGCTATGCCACGCTTCAGCAAACCCTGGCCCTGGTAGCCTGGTGTGCGCTGGCAGCTCTTTGGTATGTGATTCCCTGTCGGTGTGTGCGTTTTCGCTCCCGCTGGGTATACATGCCGTGTGCATGGTTGCCCGGTGAATTGTGTCGTCTTTCTGATCTGGAGGAGTAGATACTGGCTGATGGCGCCTGACGAAGTTGCGATTGGCGTGGTGGTGGTGGTTTATTGTGTGTGTCCCACGCCTTCGTTGTTTCATTGTCAGGGCTGTTGGCTGGCTGCTCCGTGCTTATCTTACGAGATTGACCGTCCTGTATATGTTGGACGGACTGTGCCCGTGTTCTATGCACGTGGTTATGCCTACCCGACTGTGCCTGTGTATGGACGTAGTAGGCCATTGCAGTGGCGGCGGACCATGCTGTTGTTGCAGCCGCCGCCGTCACTACAGTGTAAACCTACTAGCAGACCGTCTATGTCCGGTCTTTGTGTGTGTGTTTTACTGCTGCTCACGCAGTCCTGTAAGGATGCGGGGCGGTAAACTGGTGGCAGTGGCCCTTCTGTTGTTGTTGTTGTTGTTGTTGTTGTTGTTGTTGTTGTTGTTGTGTGTGTGTGTGCCCTCAAAACGGGCCACGTGTTAGATGCGCTGGACCAACACGGGGGCCACATCGGACTCTGGCAGGCGTTATCTGTGCGCAATAACAAATGCCAACATTTGCGGGGTGCGCTGGCGGACCCTGTTGTC